TTGGCTTGAAATTGTAAACAATAAGTTGCGAACTGAAAAAAAGATCTTTGGACATGCTTCAGTATTTTGGCCATAACTTGAGCTGTAGACTTCAGATTGGTCTGATTCTTGAACGAGTGAAAAGATAACTGAAAGGGCTACAATTTTCATGTTTACCACTTTTCCAGATTCAAACATTATAGTACTCAAATTTAGCCAGAAAGATCGTCGCCGCGGCGAAAAAAGAGTTTTGCCACTTTGAAATTGCGTCAGATCCCCAAAAAAAAAAAAAAAAACGGCACGTTTTAACTTGCTAGGGTTTCATCCTTGAGTGAGAATGGTATAAATTCACGTAAAAAAGAATGGAAAATGGTCTTGATTAGTCATTTGAAAGGCAACTCTTAGAAGAAGAAGATTATTAAAGATCTAAGTTTCAAATTAGAGAAATTTTCTCCATCTTTTGCTTGTTTTTCAATAATGAAACTTGATTCAAATTGTTTTTGTTATTTTGTTTTATTTTTTAGTATGAATTGAGTTGTTTAGCTAGGGTTTGATGTAACCTTAATACAATAATTCAAATTTATATGAATTGATTTACTTTGAGTTTTGATTTCAGATTGAAAATCGAATTCCCTAAGTTGTAAAACATACATTCTCATGCTACATTTCCCTACTTATCCCTATTAAGCTTCCGCACCCAACAAAATGAAGATTAATAGTTCAAAGGATTTCAAGCTTTGTGGAATTCTATCTAGATTGCGTTTATTTGTCTCTAGTTTTCGCTCAATCTATGGTATTTATCCCTATAGGCACATATCAGAAGTTACTTCTCAATTTCATAGATTGTTCCAATTTTCACTAAGAGATAAGGCAAAAGGTTGGCTCATGTCACACCCAACTAGAACAATCACCACATAAAACGAATTAGCTCAGAAGTTTCTTGCAAAATACTTCCCACCAACGAAAGCAGTAAAAATGAGAAACGACATTACCTCTTTCGTGCAAGACAACAATGAATCACTATATGAAGCTTGGAAGAGGTATATGGAATTGTTAAGGAAATGTCCACATCATGGTATACCGGTTTGGATACAAGTCCAAACATTCTACAATGCTACAAAATATTCAAACTATGGTAGATGTGGTGGCAAGAGGAGCGTTAATTCACAAGACTCTAGAAGATACTTATGAACTACTTGAGGCGATAGCCAATAACAACTACCAAAGACCCAATGAGCGAGTAATGCCTAAGAGGAGCATAGGTCTACATGAAGTTGACGCCTTCATCGCATTATCTGCTCAGATTTCAACGCTTCAGAAACAATTGGGAGGTATGAATATAAATATTTTTCACTTACCTTTTCTAACTTGTGAATTTTGTGCAAAAAACCATGCGAGTGTGGAATGCCAACTGGGAAACCCTTTCATCTTCTCAACAACCGAGCAAGTAAATTACATGGCTAGTTGACAAAGGCCGCAGAATGACCTCTTTTTCAACACATACAATCCGGGATGGAGGAACCATCCGAATTTCTCTTGAAGCAATCAAGGAGCGTCCATTCGAACTTTAGAGGTTCAAGTGGGGCAATTGGCAGAACAATTGACGAAGAGATCTCAAGGTTCCTTGCCAAGCAAAATAGAAGTTAATCCTAGAGAGCAGGTTCATCTCATAACATTGAGGAGTGGTGTAGTTTAGGAGAAACCTCAGCAAAGAGAAGAGTTGAAAGATCATGAAGCGAAAAATCTCAAAGCGAAAGGGTGTACAAAATACTTTGGGGAATTTCAACCAAGCAACTCGCCTCACAAGGAACAATTTAAAGAATTTCGTGTAAGTGGGCACAAGTCAAAATTAGTGTTGGAAGAGACTCCAAACATTGGACTCAAACCAAAAACTTGATGCGTTATTTCAAATGCATATTTAACAAGTGCATTAGTCAAAAAGTAATAAAGTGATAAAAAAAAGTATTGTTCCCACGAGGATAGTGTTACTAAGTACCGATTTCTCTAGTTTAAGTGTTAACTTAAGCAACAATAAATTGGATTGATGGAATATTAATAACTAAATACAAATTAACAACTAATAAATGACAAAAATGAAATTAAAGACAAAATTCAAAATCCAAATGAATCAAACAATGCTAAAAAAAAAATGTTAAGGTATTGATTTCACCTAGATACGCTAACCCGATTCATAGAATCTATTATTCAAGTTCTAATTCATTAATAGAAAATCAAATTCCCTAAGTTGCTTGGTATTCCTTCTCAGGTTATGTCACCCCACCTATTCCTATTAACCTTTCGAGCCCAAAAATTAAAGTTTAATAGTTTAAGATCTCTTAAACTTTGTAAAATTCTATCTAGATTTCATAGATCACGTTTATCTATCTCTAATTTTCGCTCAATCTATAGTATTTATCCCAAGAGGCACATATCACAAATCATTTCTCAGTCTCATTGTGAACAACACACATTTGAATAATGATCAAACATCTAAAAGTCCTTAAGCAAAGAGATAAACACACAATCATGAAATTAAAACTCAAAGTAAATCAATTCATATAAATTTGAATCATTGTATCAAGGTTACATCAAACCCTAGCTAAACAACAGTTCATACTCAAAAACAAAATAAAATAACAAAAACAAGTTGAATCAAGATTCATCATTAAAAAACAAGCAAAAGATAGAGAAATTTTCTCTAATTTGAAGTTCAAATCTTCAATAATCTTCTCTTTCTAAAGGCTACCTCCTAAATAACAAAACAAGACCCTTTTCCCTTCATTTTCTTGTCAATTTATACCCCTCTCACTTAAAGATGAAACCCTAACAAGCCAAAATGTATCGTTTTATTTTTTCGCATCTAACGCAGTTTCGAAGCGGCAAAACTTTTTCTTAACCGCGACGACGATCTTCTGGGCCAAATTTGAGCACTATAATGTCTAAATCTGGAAAAGTGGTAAACATAAAAATTGTAGCCCTTTCAATTATATTTCTACTCGTTCAAGAATTAGAACAATCCAAGATCTACAGCTCAAGTTATGGCCAAAAAACTGAAGCACGTCCAAAGACGTTATCTTCAGTTCGCAATGTAGCGTTTACAACTTCAAGCCAAGTTTTCACAATCATCTAGTCAGAATTAGGAAAAACCCAAAACATGAAAGTTGTAGCTCTACTTCTTAGCTTTCCATAGCTTTTAAATTCGGGTCATTCCTAGTTGTCAAGCTCAAGTTACGCAATTTATGCTCAAAACCTTCATTTATGCTCAAAATCATCATTTAGGCCCGCAAAGTAAAATTAATAAAATTAATTAGCAATGATGATCCAAATTGTATGAGAAATATCTTAACTCCTATTAAAATTCAATACAAAATCACTATGAAAAATAGGATTATCGAACTTCTAACCCACTGCCACCCTCAACCTTTCTCAACTTAACTTCTAACTCACCACCGCCCTCAACCTTTCTCAACTTTTATCTAATGCTCTCAAACCCTTAACCTTTCTTCTCATCGGCGAACGATGATAACCACAACGTTAGTAACCACCACGAACGACGAACAATGAACGACATTAGACCATTAGTTACCAATTTGTGACGAATTGTCTTAATCGCTTAAATTTGATTCTGCCTCTACCACTAGGGTTTGGAATTTTGCTAATAATAAACCTAAATCTCCTATCAGAGAAATTTACGTCTCTCCCTTTTTTTGTTTTTTTGTATTTGAAATGGGTTTTGATTGTTTTTGGTTTTGTTTGATTGAGTAGGACTGAGTTCGATCTCAAGTTCTTGAGATGTTGAGGTGTTGAGAAATAATATGCTTGTGAGGCCAAGGGTTTGGTGAATTTGAGGTCTTGGGCTACAGCCAAAGACATTAAAGTGATAGGTATGGCACCTAAAGAAGGGAGGCATCATCATCATCACCATGATCTTGTGCCTCTTGCTCCTTTAATTAGTAAAGAGATGAAGAGTGAGAAGATGGAGAAGCTGACTGTTAGATATGGGCATGCAACTCTATCTAGGAAATGAGAGGATTATTTATTGATTAAGACAGAATGCCAAAGAGTACTTGGGAATTATTCGTCTACTTTCTCCGTATTTTCGTTTTTGGTTTTGTTTGAATTATAACAGGTTGGATTGATGGATTAATTTGGTGGTTGAGTTGTTGTTGATTAAATTTATGCTTTGTAGGTTCTACTTTGTTAAATTGTCGTGATTTAAAAAACTGGTTCAAATTCGGGTAACTAATGAACCGAACCGAACCGAATATTAGGTTCAATTCAAAATTGGTTTAGTCCTAACCAATTCCATTTGAAAAACCAGTTTGGTTTATAAATAGAACTATTCAGTTCGATTAACCAAATTGTTCCACCTCTACTCATGCTAAGGTGTACAAGGAGGTGTGAGTTAAGATATTATCCTACATTTTTTCAAGCATTCACCAAACTTTAAGCTCAAGTATTCTCCTCTTTGATAAGATTGGAGAACCTTATTATTTTTGCTCGATTGATTTTGTATTTCATTCCTGAATTCTTTGAACTTGTCAAATGACTCAAATTTATGTCTCATTAAATAGACATAATCATGTCTACTAAAATCATCAGTAAATGTAATGAAGTAAGAATAGTCACCTCTAGCTTGAACTATTAATTGACCATATACATCATTATGGGTGATGTCTAACAATTCTATGGCTCTTTCGTTGTGTCCAGAGAAAGACGACTTTGTCATTTTGTCTAATAGACGTGAATTGCATACCTTATAAGACTGGAAGTCAAATGGATTCAAAACTCTATCTTTGTGGAGTTTTGCAATGCGAGTTTGATTTACATGACTTAATCTACAATGCCACAAATATGTTTAATTTAGATTGCCATGTTTGGCTTTGTTAATCTCTAGATTGAGAATTTCTTTATTATTTAGTTCTAGAACATACAAGTCATTATGTAAACAAGCAAATTCCATAAAAAAATATCATTTAAACTAAAAGACAACAATCTATTAGTAATAGAAAACGGTATCCTTGTTCGTCCAAAGCAGACACATAAATAATATTCTTTGAAACCAAAGGTACATAATAACAATTTAATAGTTCCAAAACCAAGCTCATAGGCAAAGACAAATAATAAGTTCCTATGACTAATGCAACAACACGCACTCTATTTCCAACTCGTAAGTCCACATCTCTTCTGGCAAGCAATCTACTATGTCGTAGTCTCTGCACATTAGTGCAAATATGAAAACCACATCTAGTGTCAACGACTCAAGATGTAACAAGAGATAAGTTAATCTCAATCATATACATACCTTTAAAAGAAGAGTCAGACTTCTTCTTGTTTACTAAGAAGGTCTTACAGTGTTTCTTAAAATGACCAGACTTGCCACAATAGAAGCAAATCACCTTCCCATCCTTACTTACAATACCTATCCGCTTTAGAGAATCTTGAGGTGTGAGCCCAAGCTTGAGTTTGGCTTTAGCCTTCCTCTTGCTATTTCCCTTCCTCTTTCCAATCATCTTAGGTACATGAGGGCCAACTTGGGCTCCCTCAACCATTCGACTCCTAAACAACAGTTTAGACACCTTATATATCTTATGTTGAGCTCGATCTTGAAAAAGCTCTTTAAAAAGTAAAATAATTGCAACTGCATCCATGTTCTCATGTTGCTTTTGCAATTCAGGTGTCATCGATGCTAAGATAATACATTGGACAGTGTCAACATCATTAAGGTACTTTTGGTAAGTACCTTTTTGTTCCTGAGTGGCATCAAGACTAGGTACAACCGGGTAAGGTTGATCGATGGTGTATAATCTCTTTTCAAACTTAAGTACAATTCAAAGATTTCGATATCAGTCTGTAAAATTTGTTTCATCCAGCTTATTTTCTTTTTTAATTATAGATCGCAATGACAAGTTGTTATTGCTCATTTTGTGAATCTACAAATGCAAAATAAACATAGAAATTATCATGTTAAATTTATTTAATAAGGTCTTTAATTAAATAAATACTCTCACTATTTTACTCAAGTTAATAGCTCTCAAGAAGGCTCGTTAGTCTTCTAATGGACTGATCCCATCAATTCCATTTTTTACCTCTGCTAAGGTGAAAAAGTCAAAATGGATAGATTAGGTAGGTCAACAAACTCAATTTACACCTATCAATGGCATCAACGAATGACCTCAAATGTAAGTTAAGCCAACAAACCAATTACATAATTCAATGGTATCGACCATTGTCCTCTAAGTGTAATTCTCGAATTTGTAGAGTAAATACTACATGCCCCACATGCACTAAGCAAATGCATTTCTCTGTTACACTTATAGTACATTTTTCAACCTTCTCTAAAACAAACAAACAAAATACACTATTTAAGTCAAACTCATCACTATTAAGGAAAAACTCTAATGAGACTAAACCTCCTACTAGCTAAAGTATACCCTTCACTGAGACGAACAAAGTCACAACAAACAGTGGTTTGATTAACACCATAGTGATAGAAGGCGTCGAGTTACTTGTCTGACTTAATATCATTTTGAAGGGTTTTTATTTAGGTCTCACCATACATTGTTGTATTTGATAGCCATATTAAACATAATATTCCACCTAGCATGCTTACTACAACATAGATAAATGTGCCACTACATGACCTAGCTAAAATCGGTCTCCTCGAGCTTAGAGGGACCAATGGGTCAACTTAGGTGTCCTATAGAATATAGTTTGTGTCTTCAAGCATGGTTGCAACTCCTCATCTCCATCTTCAATTACATTACAAAAATTGAATTTACATAAAATAAAACCTATATTAATTTACATCAATAAATTCAAAAACTTTAAGTTACATTCGAGGGGATTAAGATAAGAAGAGCATGTGCATTGAGAATTTGAGGGGAAGGTAAAATACGTATGCCCTATTTAAATTAAAATTACAAACATGCATTTCCAAATTAATTAAAACAACCATAAGTCTAAAACTCATGTACCGGGCATCATACATAGTCACTCATCAAGACATAGCATACATTCAAAATTCAATTTGAATAAAACAACCTATCTAAATGGACCAACAATGGTGATCTGGTCTTTCATAAAAACCTTCTCTTGCTTAATTGTTTAAAATTTTAGGATTTTTAATTATAATGTGATTTTACTATGTTTTATCTAAATTCTTTAGAATAAAACTAAAATCATAATGCATGTGTGCATGTACATATATGCATATTTGCTCTCCTTATTCTATATGGCATGTTATAATCATTCAACACAATATTGTAATTTAAACATTTACATTAAAAGTTGAATGTATTTACTCTCTGAGTATTACTAAAAAAACACACCCCTCTTAGGCATCTGAAATTACAATTTATCTTATGTTGTCAATGTTCTATTAGGGTTTTCATCATTGATTACCTTATTTACACTTGATCTATTAAATTAAACACAAAACCCTAACAAACTAATGAGTAAATTGTTACTTTGGACACTTGAAGGAAAAAATTTATTTGATAATACCTCAAGCAGGAAATTATGCTTAAACTCTTAAATTATTAATACAGTAAAACTTATCTATAGTCATAATGGTAAGACCCAACTAATTTAAATACTACAAAAATTATTGTTTTAATCTGGTTATCCTTAATGCAAGTGATATAAAGGTAAAGTTTTTACTACATTAATAATTAATTAATAGAGCATGTCAAATCCAAGGTATAAATATTGATAAAAGAGAGAGACAATTTCAAAAAAACTATTACATGTATCTATGTAGTGTTGGGAATATGCAAAGTCATCTTAAAAATATAAAATTTTATATTCTCTTTAATATTTTTCTCTCAATGTAAATTCTATAAATGCATTATACTATGATACAACACATGCAATGTTCAACCAATTCAAGTGAAATCTTTCCTTTTTCCTCCAACAAGTTCAAAGATGTAGTAACAACTCTAAAACATAAATCATTATCTCAAACAACTTTAAATAAATATTTAAATTCATCTTAAACCTTTAATGTAACATAACATATATTTTTTGAAATATACAGATAATTATTACTATGTGGAGATAAGTTCCTTAAGACGGGACCTAAAAAAATTATAACTTACTACAATGGGGAGATTATTCTTATTTATAACTAATCTAAATTGGGACCAAAATTTTTTATAGCTACATGAAAATTATTCTTATATAGAATATTACTATAAATAGATCATACAGTATAACTATCACTATGGCCTATCCTATAACTGATAGCTCCAACTTCATTGCTTCTTGTTTATGAATCTCGTTCAATAATCTTCTTATTAAACAATTAAGGATTTTCTCCTTAATTCAAATTGAAAATTCAAATTCATGAATTTTACCTAGGATTTTCTCAAAATCCAAAAATTCATAAATTTAAACTTTCTAAAAATTAAGAATTTGTATGCCACTTTCGACTAAGATTTTCTAAGAATCTCCGATTTGAATTAGGATTCCAAAAGTCTTGGAATTCCAATTCTCCAAGAGTCATAATCTTATCAGAACTCTAACTTTGGATTAAATTCCAAAAGTTCAATTTTAATTGGATTCTTATTCCTCAAGTTTATCTCAAATTCTAGATTTTCACAAAATCTAAAATTTAAAAAACTCTTAAACTCTTAGGAATCTTAATTTAATCGAAACTCTTTAATTTTCAAACCTTTCCAAAATTTTAATTTTGAGAAAATTGTAATTTTTATTTTCTTAAAATTTTAATCAATTAAAAAAGAGAAATAACAAAAAATTACTATCTCACCTGCAAGGAATTTGAAAACAACGGCTCAACTTGACCGAAGGAACTAATTTCACCTTGATAAACCTCTGCTTTAGCCAATGAGCCAATACCATCTATGCTCTGCAGCTTCTCCACTCTATTGATGCCATTCTTCTCACTATGGCTCAAAGGACTAACAGGGCTTTGTGTATACCATGTTATTGCATGCGGGAATTTTGTTGCATGTACACGTGACGCTTGCTTTCCCCTAAACACTCCCCACAAATAAAACTTCAACTCAAACCCTACAAAAGTTAATGAACAATACAAATAAATATAGATTGTGCAAAAAGGATGATTAATAGTATATTTTTCTTTCTTTCTTTTCCTTTTTTTTAATTAAGATGAATAAAATGGAGCAAACTGGTATTTTCAATGAATAAGGATATTCTACTCACTCCAAAACTGGAACGGCAGAACATTAGAAGTGAAAACTAGGAGTTCTGCATTTTCAAGAACAGATCTCATGGCAAGGTTATGGCTGACCATGTCATCCACTAAGCTATTATAAACTTTTCCATCCCTGCAACATAAAAATACATTAAAATGACATCTGATATGGAAAACCAAACCCAAAGCTAATGTAGCATTGTCAAATCCTCACCAGTCATTGTTTGGAAACAAATAAAGAGCAATATTGTCATCACTTGGCCCTCGTTTGATAAAATTATTTGGCCACACAGCAGACCTTGGAAGTAATTCCAGGCACAGCAACTCTGGAAACCTTTTTGCCTCCTCAAACACCCTAGAAGATGCCATGGTAGACAAATGAGCCGCAAGTCCTCCAACAGTACCATATTTCTCATTGCTGAGGTACAAACTTCCACTGTCAATGACACTGTCAATGACAGAAACCAGTTTACATGTTACTATCTGCATCAGATATGAAAACATAATGAAGCCAGAAATTAAACAAATAAATATAAGCCTTACTTCCAGATTGGTTGGAATATTGGCTGTGCAGGGACATAAATACTGTAATTGATATTTGAAAAAACACTAGTAACTACTAGAGAGGTTTCATGCTTAGCAGATTCAGCCTCTTCATTAGGGCTGCCCTGCTCTATTCCATTTTGTCTTCCACTCTGAGCATTTTCATCATTCTGATTGCAATACACTTTAGTGGTCGAATCAGCACGGGCATTAGAACTCTGTGTTGGGATATTTAATGAGATACTAGTAGCTACTAGAGAGCTTTTAAGTTCAACAGACTCCATTTCTTCATCAGTGCCATCCCTAACTAGCACCTTCTGTCTTTTAAAATTATTATCCCCTTTATCATTCTCACTATAATGAACCTTGATAATTGGTCGTTTATGGTCATAACAACGGTGTTGTAGGATATCTGTAGGGTCATTGGTTACCACTGGAGAGGTTTTATCTTTGACTATTACAATCTCTTTATCAGAGCTACTCCCATCCAATTCAATTTGTCTTTCAAGTTTTTCATTGTTCTTGTCACCTTCACTGCAATGCAACTCAGAACTGTGCTCTAGGTTATTTTTAGAGTCACCAATAGCTGTTACCGAGGGTTTTGTTTTCACTGGTTCAGCCTCTTCACTAGAGCTGCTCCCATCCAATTCAATTTGTCTTTCAAGTTTTTCATTGTTCTCATCACCTTCACTGCAATGCAACTCAGAACTGTGCTCTAGGTTATTTTTAGAGTCACCAATAGCTGCTACAGAGTGTTTTGTTTTCACTGATTCAGCCTCTTCACTAGAGCTGCTCCCACCCAGTTCTCTTTGTCTTCTAAACTTCTGATCTTTATTTTTTTCATGATTCTCATTGCAATGCAGCTCAAGATGACTGCAGGGACTTATTTCTCCTTGACAAACCTCTGCTTTAGCCAATGAGTCAATACCGTCTCTTCTCTTCAGCTGCTTCTTCTTCTTCAATCTATTAATGTCATTCTTCTTAGATTGGGTTTCTTGGACAATTTCTAAATTTCTGGAATCACAGTTCCTGGCCAGAAGAGAGTTAAGGTTGTCTTGAGAAGACAGTTTTGCAACCTTTTTTTCACAATCCACACAATACCAAATCCTTTCCTCCTCAAAATCTTCTGGCATTACAGCTAAGCAATAGCTGGAAAATGAGGAAACAAAATAAATATTACAAAACAAAAAGAAAAGCATCAAAGGTTGATCAAATGAAGGAATCTTCAGCCAACATGACAAAACACAGAACATTTTCTTTAAAACTTAAGACCTAAAGAAATTGCATCTAGGACGTTAAAAGTACATATGATCCATGCATACGGTTAAATATATTGATTCAAGCAACGATGAAACTACAATCTTCTCAGTTAAGTCCACTCATGTAACAACTCCACTACAAAAAAATAAATTTCATCTCTTTATGCTAAAAGTATAAAATGCCTAATAAACATCCATGTAGCATCCTAGCACCACCATCGGAAGTTCTAGTGACCATATGGAGAATAAAGATACATAAATTACCAACATTGCAACTTACCGATGCACAGCAGCAATCTGACACTCGTCACAGTAAATTAAAGCCACAGAGAAGCCTCGATCTCCGCACTGCTCACAAATAGTCTTAACCTAAAAAATAAAAAATCAGAATCAAAAAGCCTTTTTTGTCCTATATGCATTTGATATTACTCAGCAGAACTATTTCAATTCACCAAGCACAACTCATTGACCCCAATTTTGCTCCTTCATGAAAAGGATAGGCAACTAGAAAAACTTAGAAATCTCTACAAACAATTCTCTTGAGTGCTTAACAAAACCACTCACAAAGGCACCATAGGAACCCCACAATAGAAAAAAACACTTACACTTTGAACTCCAGGTCCAAAGTTTTAGAAAATCAAAACCGTCTGCAATGCCTGAATCAAATAACTTATCTCGCCACGCAAATACTTATTATTAACCTTAAAACGATCCTCAATTCCTCTCAGTACTTAAGACTACACCAATGCTCCCCCAAATCTAACCCATCAACATTACTAAATTCAAACATAAAAAACGACCCATTCATCAAAAGCAAGTAAGCAACCCACATCTAAAACACAATTAAATAAACAAAAAATACAACTTTTCGAAAAACAAAAACTTACCATGGTGGAAATGAATTAACACTATCGCTCACCATAGAAAAGAAGAGAACTTGCCGAGAAAATAAAGCCAAAACCGACAGTTCAGAACCCAGCCAAGATCAAAATCTCAGTTTCAATTCACACTAAATCTGCACCAAAAATTTTCAAATAAAGCATAGACTTTTATAGTGTTGGTGTGATCCGAAGCGCAAAAGCAGAGGTCTGCAAAAATTTTCAAATAAAACGTAGGCTTTTACAGATTTGGTGGAATCCGTATCGCAAAAGGAGAGGAGTTTCGCTTGTGGAAGAAATCTGGAAGAACAATAAAATGATTTGATGGGCTTTGGACTTTAGAGAAAATTAAGATTTGAACGGCTAAAGCGAGGAATAACGGCGGTGAGGCGCGTGGGTTTTATTAGTGGGTTAATTAACTGATTAAGAGAAGATAAATATTTGCCATTACAAATTTTATGAATATAATACTATATTATTATTATATGAATTGTGTAAAAATTAGAATATGATATATATTTATGAGTTAAGTATAGTAACAAAAAAATTAATTTTTTAAAATAACAAAAATTCTTTTTGCTATTAAGTTTTAAGAGTTAAAATAAAATATAGAAAGGTAATTTGGTAGTATTTAGGGGATGTTTATCTGAACTTATAAAAATTAGCTTATAAGTAATAAGTACTTATAAGCATTTGAAATTTTAAGCAATTACGTGTTTAGTTAAAGTACTTATAAATGACTAATAAGTAGTTGACGTGTTTGGTAAAATGTGGCTTATAAGTACATTTTATTATAAAATGACTAAAAAAGGTACTATATTAAACAAGGGTATACTATAAAATTTTAAAATTAAACAAGGATAATATGGTAATATACTTGGTCAAACTAATTTATAAGCAGAGTGCTTATAAGCTTAAAAAAATTATAAACAAACATGTTAGTTTAATTTTAGAGCGTATAAACTTAGACAAACACCTCCTTAATAACTTATGAGAATGTAAATTTTAACAACCAACTAATGGTTATTAATGACAAGAAGGAGACGTATTATTTCAAAAACCTCAAAAGAAATTTTTGTTATTATATCATATGGATTAGTATTATTAACTCTATATTTATTAACAGGTATATGATGAAAAAAATGTTAAAGGGTGAGAGTGAAAGATTATAGAATACAAGGACTAGATTGATGTTTAAGAGATAACTTTTCATTGAAATTTCAAAGCTTCTCAAAAGTGTCTATCTACTTGTTGCATGTAGAAACACAACACCTTTAAATAGGAAACCCAGGGCTATGAGACAAATAAGGAAGAGATAAATATGAATCAATGAATTGATTCATTTAGGGTTTAACAATATGATTTCCAAAATTTTCATTATTTTTATGAGTTAATACACATCTTTATAGTTTTCATCATAATGCACCAAATTTTTTTCTATTATAAGATTTCAATTTTCATCGGATGAGGCTAACATTTCTTTGATTGGAATCATTTCATGTAAAGCACGATGGACTTTCTGATAATGTTTCAAATGTAATACAAGTACGATGGACTTTCTGATAATGTTTCAAATGTAATACAATCATTCATACTAGTTCAACATCTAAACCAAACTCATACCATAGTATCTAATCAAAACTTTCACAGAAAATCTCTAATATAAACTTCAATAAGTATCATACAATATAACATTTGCAGTCAGTTGAAACGGCTCCTGGGGGTCAACCAGAGTGAATCATCCATACTAGGACTCTGATCTCCACCAAAATCCATTAAAGTCTCAGGTAAAACAGAACCAATGTTCACTGCCGGTTTCTTCGCCGGCAAAAGAGGAAATGGAGCTTCCCCTCTGAGAATCCTTGCAGCTTCCTTCACACTAGGCCTCTTCTCATGGTTTGGATGCACACAAGCCAGTCCCACCATGAGCATTCCTTGCATTTCTGACCTGTTAAACTTCCCTCTCAATCTCAAATCAGCAGCCTCAAGCAACTTCCCTTTTTCCCACTGTTGCCACACCCAATCAACAAGCAGAGATCCTTCATTATCTACAGGCCTTCTCCCTGTGGCAACCTCTAAAACCACTACTCCGTAGCTGTAAACATCGGTTTTTTCTGATGGAACACCGGAATAAACATATTCGGGGGCGAGATATCCCATTGTTCCAGCTGGGATTGTAGCTTCTCTTGTGATGCAACTGTGTTCATAAACTTCTGCTAATCCGAAATCGCCAAGCTTGGCGTTGAACTCTGCATCTAGCATTATGTTGCAGGACTTTACATCTCTATGAATTATCTGTCTTTCACACTCTTCATGAAGATAAGAAAGAGCAGAAGCAACCCCAAGAATAATATTTAGCCTTTTCTCCCATGGAAGCAAAGTTGCAGAAGGGGAATTAGTGTGCAGGATTCCGTCGAGGCTTCCATTGGGCAAGTATTCATAAACCAGGACTAATTCAGCTCCTTCACAGCACCATCCTTGAAGCTGAACCAGGTTTTTATGCCTCAAGCAACCCACCATTGTTGCGAATTCAGTGGTGAAAGGATTGCGCGTACAGTCGATCAAATTAGCCCTTTCAAACCTCTTTACTGCCACTGCTCCACCGGAGCTGAGAGACCCTTTATAGACAGTCGCTGATGCTCCTTCGCCAACGATTCTGTCTTGATGAAACCCCATTGTTGCTGATCTTATCTCAGCAAGTGACAATTGTTTGGGCACTTTATTTGGCTGTGCATTACATGCTTGTGTTTCTTTATTTCTTCTACCATCATGCTTCTTCTTCCTTATCAAAAAGAAACTAATCACACCAACAATGGCAATTATGGAGAAGCCAAACGCGGCTAATCCTCCAAACTCAAATGCCATGTCCCTTACATTTGTTTCACTTTTGTGAATATTAACATTACTGCTATCATAATTTGAATCCCCAGGATAGCACATGAAACACTCCCCATCTTCAACCATGTCTACAGTATTCACAGAAGCATAAGAAACGAATGTCTTGAACCGCCAACGCTCGATTATATGCAATGCTGAGCCTTGCCCATTTGCAGCAGAGAAACCAACGTGCATATACTCTTTGAATTGCTCGGAGAGGTCCATTTGAACAACAAGAAGTGGACTTGGAGGCCTAATCTGAGAGTAACCAGCCCACACTCTGATTAATTTCAATGCATCTTTGTACTCAATCCAAACTGTAATCTGATTCCCACTTTTAAGATCAATCCCTCCTGAAGAAGCATCAACAGAAGCAAAAGATATAGCCGTTTTAACGTCAATACCAATATGGTTACCATTGATGTCCCCAAGTGAAGGGTCAAAACTTGTATCAAATTCCACAGCAAAGAAAGAATCTTGGGGTCCAGGAAGGCCCATGTAGCCCTTAGAACGAGTATAAGAATCAGCAGTGGAGGTGACCAAGAAAGCGAAACCATCTCCAAAGGGACACAATGGAGAGGGGATTATAGAAAAGGAGAATTTACAAGAAAAAGAAGCTGTGGTGTTAGTTGTGGGATCAAGAAAACGAATTGGGTATAGATAGAGAGCTCTTCCAATACCAGAAGAGGAAGAAGATGAAAAGAAGCAAGTGAGTTCTTGAGTGAGGCTAATGGCATTGTCTCTAAAGTAGGCATCACCATAGAGAGTGATATTGTTGGTGGGCAATGAAGTGAAAGTCAAGATCTTGATAAAGAAAGTGACCCAGAAGAGAAGCAAAAGAGGAGAGTGCATTGTGATGTGTCACAAGAAATGGGAAGATCTTGATTGCTTGAAGACATAAACAGAGATTTTAGAGAAATGTATGGAAAGAAAGTGAAAGAAAACTTGCCTGTTTTGCTTGTTTGATCTTGAATTGGCTGTCTTGCTTTAGAAACATGTTAATGAAACGTGACCGTATTAATGTTTGCGCGAGTGTAACTGAGAGCAAGAGAGGTTTTGGAGGGAACGAAACTCAGTTAGTTAAACCAAACCCTCGAGAGTGAAAATCCTTTGGCTCAGAATTTAACAGTTCCCGTGTTATACTTATATCATTTAATTAATATTAGAATCGGGAAACCCCAAATCCAACTGTTTAGCCAACGTCATTATCTGATGAGTTTACCATTTTATTTTTTATTTATTTTGTCTGGGCAGGAGGAGAAAATCGGATGAAAAAAGAGAACTAATAATGAAGCAGGGCCAGCTTCTTAACCTAAAAATTGTTTGTCTTATTTCAGGAACATGATTTTCTTTTTTTCTTAAAGAAAAGAAAATTGTAGCAACCCAGATTTTGTTTCTCCTCCATTCTGGTGAATTAATGGATGTGTGACCAAAAGAATTATATTTGTTGTTAATTCTTTTAGTATGGCTTAGCTTGACAGTCAGTTGAGATGGGAATTTTACATTAAATTTTGATAAAGATAGTAGAAGTCATTCTTATAAAGTTATAAGTAAATTCAGTCTTAAATTTAGCGTTTAATCAAGTTAAGACCATCATCCATAAACTCAACAACCCACAGTCATATTATATGCATTATGTATAGTCAGCCAGGTTGAAGTTGCTGCAATGCTTTCTTTTCAAAGCCTTTTCTCCTGTTTTTGGTTCCTTAGGCATTACCGATTTAATAATTTTTATATCTTCCTTTTTTCTGACTTAACCCATGATGAATGGCTCAGACTTTGGCCTTTCTGGTGCCAACAGGATGTTGGTAGAGAGGGTGACTTTTCCTGGCAATCAAAACTGGCTATTGACATACATTATACTAAACCAGAGTTATAGACGAAGCAGGATAACAATCAAGACTGTCCGCATTAAAGGAAATTTTATAAACAACAACTAATCTAAAACCATCACCGGCAGTTTTGGAGATGACCCCAGAACCCAAAGCGATACTTTGAAAGGATTTTATTGCTAGAATGATTGTAGAATTCATAGCCAGATAATGTTAATGCTTACCATGAAACACAGATGTCAGCAAGCACTTAAAACATATACCTATAGTTAACTTCCTTGAGTATCCTTCCCTCTCTTTTCTTTACATCATAGACCATAACCTTGAACTGCAAGCTCTGTACGCCAAATGCTAAAGACAATTTCTAATTTTTTTACATCAAAGCAGCAGATCCAGAAAAGTATCGCATAATGTCATAGACTTTAACACATTAACTCAGTTGCAAATCCTTCAACATCTAAGCATATAACTGCGGGACACACAGCTCCATCTAAACAAAACTTGCCTAATTTACACATTCTAAAAACTAGAAAGCCCAGGACCAAATTTCATTGGAATCAGAACCTCATGAAAAGTATCCACAGAAAGGTCAATCGTAAATATGCAGAAAAAATGACTGAAAAGATCATATCTGAAACCAGCATCAACTTACATAGAGTTTAACGTCAATGCAATTCTATCATGAGAGCAGAGTTTGACTACTATAACGCTCCTTTATCTTCCATTGTAGAATACACATCCAGCAGTAAACCATCTTGTAGCTCATTGCCTATGAGAAGCCACGAAAGCTATTCATTCTCATTGAATTGCTTAAAGAGCGAAGGGAAAATAACCTCCGTGTCTTGCTATAGAAAAACCTTTGGCCAGCACACACATTTACAAATGCTAATAAAACATCTATCTTTATTCTAGCAGTCTAAACATCTGCTTGAACCTAAAATCATACAAGAAAGCAGCAAATCAACAAATTATTACGCATTATATTTAAATAATATCTTCTTGATTGAGCAAAACAGAGCTTCTTACTAAGAATAGAATATTTGATAGATAGAGCTTCTAGCTTTGATCCATCTCTAATTTCCTGATGATAGAAAAGAGGCTAGTTTAATTTCTCTGTCCCTTAACAAACCCGAACCCTAACATTATTGCTTAATTTTGGAAATTTCCAACACCAAATCTTCTTTCTCCCATTTATGCTTCTGAAGTACAGGAAGACTGAAGAAGCTATTCAATGCTACAGTTGTTCTGAAAGCATAGATATTCCGCAACTCGTTCTTCTCCAGCTACAAAGAATTTGTTTGCCACTACATGCTTCCATAAATATGTTTAGACTAATTCATTTTCATTCTATCAATCACACAAAAATCTAATATATTAAGTGATATAAACAAGTCCATAATTCTTCTTCCTTTGCCTAAAACTCCAACAGCTAGGAATCTTTGCATAATTCTCAACAGCAAAGCACAAGTAGAATATTATGTTTCAAGAAAAGAACGGAATGGATATACAGTTACTACTAAATGTTCTGTTAAGAGAGTACCCTCAATGCACTTGACCTGTTTATTTGTATTTAAGTTAGCTGGATTAAGAGGAAGGAAATGCCACATAACGAGCGCAACAACTTGTCTATAGCTACTACTAAAATCCAATAAGAAGGAACTGCATTCTCAACAATGCCTCCACAATAAAAACGTTACACCGATAAAATCACATTTGAGATACAAGGTTAAGAACAGCCAAAAGGATGAACAAAATTTACTTAATGGCGGGAATTTGTAGATGAGATACAGTAGAAAGAAAGAAAACCACTAATAGCTTAATTGAAGTGCCAATTCTCAAAAGCGCATTCAAAACAGTCAAACTAATGCAAATTTGACACTAGTAAACAAAATTACTCAATGCCAGCAGTAGCAGAATTACTTAAAAACAAACAATATTGTTTGTAGCTGGCGAAAATTTTCAAAGTGTTATTAATAGAATTGCAAAAGATACAAATAATAACAAGATAATGAGTATTATCAAAGTGCCTAATCTCAACCGTATACAAATGCATTAACAAAAATCAATTAAAACTCTACTAGTCTACTTTAAGCAGAAACAAAAATACAAACAAATTAGAAATTTAGGATATCTAACCAGAGAGTCAACAGCCACTAAATCAAGCAGGAGCAACATTAACTTCAGCTAACTCCTTCCGCTTCAAATACTGCTGCATAACCATAAGCCTAGCAGTCTCAAACGCAAAATACCCCAATGCCGAAAAGCAAGCACTATGAACAACTCGAGGCGCCATTCCTCTAGTCAATCCAACCCATCCTTCCTCCTTCAAAATCTGCCTCACAGTCGCCGCAACGCCACTATACATCACTGCAGCCACCTTGTTAACCGCCTCTCCTTGAACCTGAGTCATCAACCTAGTTTTCACCACATCAAGCGGGGTCGTTAAAGATGCAGAAATTGCTCCAGCCAATGCCCCACAACACACACTCTGAATTGGCTCCAAATGACCCTTCTTAGTCTTACTCAAAACCGCAGCTTTTAAGTACTCAAAAGACGAATAACTCAGCACACCAGCAGGCAAATTCCTCAACAATGTAGCAGAATACCCTGCATAAAGCCCCAAAAACCCGTCTTTCTCCAAAATTTTCAACAAAACCTCCCAAGATCGCCCCTTTGCACCCGCCTGCATTCTCTGAGTAATCAATTCTTTAGGCACCATTATAGCCGATGACACAATATTCCCCATTGCACCAGCCGTGGGAGGAACAAGCACGGAAGGGAACATCTCAGATTTAGACAAAATCGATTTCCCGAACTCACAAGTCCCAAAATACACAGCAGAAGAAGCCGTAGAACCCACAATAACAGCAGAAACACCACTATAAAACCCAAGAACACCCTTGGTTTGAAACGTCTTAACAATGGCATCAAACGTGCTCGTGTAAATCTGTGAAGCACCCTTTGTTTGCAACTTGGTTTTGATTGTATCGAGTGGGTGAAGACACACGTAAGTGAATGCGCCGGCAATGCCGCCGCCAGCTGCGCCAATAAGGGCGCGCTCGAGAACCGAGAGATTCTTGATAAAGGATTGGGCTTTGGGGGGGTTCTTCGAAGTGGGTTTGAGCCATTTTTGCGGCTTAAACGCTGTGGATTGGTGGGGATCGTTGGTGGTGGTGGTGGAGAGTGAAGTTGAGGCAAATCTAACGATGTCGTTTTTGATGAGTTTGGGTTTGCGTTTGTGGGGTTGGGTGGATATGAGGTTGAAGGTTAAGTGATTGAAGAGGGAATTGAAATCGGTGCTGAGTAGACAGTGATTTGGGTCGGGAGACGGGAGCCCCAGAGAGGTAGAGAGTCTAGTTTCCATGGCGGTTGTTGTTGCTGACTCTGCTCTCTGGCTCTGAGGATCTTACCTGTTTAGCTAAAATAATAAATGAGGGTAAACGATGTCGTTTTAGGAGATGATGTGGGTGGCTCATGTTGCGTGATACCGTTTGGTTATTACTTATTATGAAGGGTCCGTTTGAATCGGGTCGAAGTTTTTTTTTAACTAGGGTAATATTTGTTTAATTAAACAGATTATTGTGTTTGATATTTTTATATAAAAATATTATTTGAAAATAAGATAATAAATAGTATCAAAAAGGGGATAAATCACCGAGAATAATATTACTGGAGAGGGTGGTATTAAAATATTACTTCGGTAATCAAAATTTTTGTCCAATTTTGCCCCAAAACAGTGGACAATGTGGATAAAAATATCCTTGGTTTTGTTAATAATTATAAAACACCTAATTTGTAAAATGATAAAAACACCCTCACCACCACAGTGCCAGATTCCGACCACCACCGCCGGAATCTAGTCGAAATCAACCGTTACAACTCAGACTGGTCGAATATGGCCGGCGGTATGTCGATCTGGCCGTCGACGACCGTAAAAGGCTAGATCGGTGAATAAACAGCCATTTCTGGTCGTTTTTGGGCAGTTGTGACACATTCCGACCATCAATGACGATAGTTGCCAGAATCTGGCAACTATGGGTGGGTGGGGTTGTTTTTGTTAATTTTTAAACTTTTTTTCTGGGGGTGTTTAATTAAGTTAATAAACTTAAGGGGTCTAAAAATAACTAAAACAGTATTTCCCAAATAATTAAACAAACAAGTATTTTAGGAATAGGATAGAGAATAGGGTTTGAAATAATAAAACAAATAAGCCCTTAATTATTTATATCTAGTAATCATTTAAAGGGCATTCTAGTAAAAGGGTATTTCAGGACATCTGTTATTACTATCAACCATATACATTAATTATTAATACATCTCAATTGAACCAAGTACAATAATAATTTAAACCCGGTAATCTACAATGTAATCTTTCTTTCCGATAATCTTATTACTAAGATAAAAAAAATTATATGATCCAAACGCCCCCGAAGAGGTAAATATCAAACCTTTTATGGAAGTAATTTCTATTTTCTACATTATTGGTGTTAAAAATTGACAAATGAGAAAAAATATCATTCCTTTTTTCATATTTAGCCACTTTACTACACTTAATTAAAGGTCGTATTATTGTTCAGTGATTAAGCCATTTCCCTACATCACTCAATGCACCCAAGAATCTGAAGTTGGTAATAAAAAAAAAAAGTTCTAATTTACTCCATTGATGAACAAAATTTCAAATGAACCCCTAAAAAATGATTAATTTTTTAACCTAACCCATGACTTTGAAACAAAAGCTATGGTGATGAGCTTCTAATAGTGTTGTGAGAGATGATTCTAAGTCAACATTACCTAATAATTTAATTATTGAATTGACAATAATCATTTTTTAAAACGTTGAACTCTAATAATAATAATCAAGGATGGTGCTTTATTGATAACTTAGAAGTGTAGCCATCATGTAGGTTCTGATTACTCAACTGGAGCAATGGTGCGATGTGAGGTCCAAAGTTGTTGGCGACGTTTAATGGATCCATCAACCAGTTTCCTTAAACGCCAATCAATCTGATTTGGCTATGCTTATACTTAGTAGACTTCACCCTATCAAAAAAGACATGCAACTCTGCATACAATCGAATGAGCTCTACCCAATTCGAATGTTTCCTTGAACATGTAAGTAACAAATTAAACTCAAAATCTTCACTAAATGGCATATTAAATTTCAGAATTTCTTTGCTCTTTTTCTGGTGTTCTTCTGATACCAGTTTCTCACTTTAAAATGAATTTTGGGTTCGTCCTGGTGAGATAATTGACCACACATATGAAAAGAACCAAAAGAACTTGACAAAAGAATTTTTGATTTATCCTGTTTTCTAATCTTGTGTATCTGTCAATGCAAAAAGCATATTACAAAATCAAAATCATTTTCATGATCTTCATGTACAATTTGTTCAAAATCAGTAAGGCATGATATGAGTTGTCTTTGTATCATAACTTCCCAACCCACAATTCTTCTTCCCCAAAACTTTAACCAAATCCCCGCACAGTTTTCTAACAATCCCTTCGTTTTCGCTCTGCATAACCAACAACACTTTCGTCACGCCGTTACTGTTAACCACCGCCTCCGTTACTCTCCCGTCTTTATACATAAAACACATGCTCCACAGAACCACAACCGCATCCTCCCTCGCGCTTTTGCCCACTTTCATTATTTTCTCCACGATTCTCGCTGCGCATATCGAGTCTTCGCTAACCGCCAACCGTCCCTCGCTGCACGTGGTGGTTATTGACAGCAACTTTATCGCCTTTTCGATTGTCGGAATCCGTGAACTCGTATCGGAGAGTATCTTCGACAGGATTTGAACGAGTCCGAATCGGACGAGTTGAGTTTTGACTGACCGAATTCCTGATAGCGCGATTAAGATTGTCAATACCGCGTCGTTTAAGTTATCATTGTTTGACGTTCTGAGTTGATCGAATAGTTCTGAGAAGATGCTCTCTGTTTCTAAAACTCTGCGTTTTGATTCGTTGTCGAGTAAAATTGCATCCAGGATTTTGATTGATTCTATTCTCGAATCTAAGCTTCCCTTTTCAAGAACGCGAAGAAGCGAAGCTAAACAATTACTATTGCTTAGGAAAATCAAACGATTTAATTTCTCTCTGACTCCTTTTTCGTTCAAAATCAAATTCAAAACCTTAACAACCGACTCCAGAACGACAATCTCCACGCGTGTTCGATTCAAAACACTGATAATCGCTTCCAAGAAACCACCGTAACTACTCAAAAACCTCCGATTCTCCTCACTACCACGAACAAACTCCGAAATCTTCACCAAACAATCCACGCAACTCTTCTCCTTCTCGCATTCGCTTCCAATCTTCTCAACCAAAGCCTTAATCTCCTGCTCCGACACCGTCAATTGACGGGACCAGAGGTTGATCAGACGGTGGAGCGTAAGATTGGGAGTGAAGTCTTTGGTGGACAGGATTTGCATCGTGGCCGGACAAGTATCATGTCCTGATTCAAGCCAGTGCTGAATACTGGAACGGTCGTACGTGACGCCGGTGCAAAGGCTGACGGGAGACTTCATGACGTCCAACGAAATTGGGCAACGGAACAAGCTCGGCACCGTTACGAACAGTTCGTTTCTTACCATTTTTGTACAGTAAAGGGATTCTCAAAGTGTCAGACTTGAGAGAGAAATAGCAACCGAAGCTGGGAAGAGAAGACGGAGATTGTGAGGGGTTTTGTAGAGGAAAGAGTCAAACTGTCAAAGCAATAAGGTGACGTCGTATTGACTGTGGGGTCAGTTTTAATTAAATGGGTTTAAAATTTCAGACGTGGACGAGGGGGACCAGACCAGTTGAATTGAAGGTTGAGGCCTTAAAGGGCTAAGTTGGGAAGTTTTGGCCGCGTAATTTATGGAACGTATTATATTTCTAGTCTTTTAGGCGGGTCCCGCTTCTTCAACTGATCAACTTGACTTAATTAGAACTTAGAAGGTTAGTTTCCTTATTTTTCTTGTGTACATATTATTTAAAATTGACCGTTTTCTTATCAGAAACTTTGGTCAAAATTAATATTAGATTTGTATAACCTAAAGTTTTGAATAATCAAACCACTCCCTTTGACCCATGGTTTGACTTAAATCAAGATTGAGATAATGCCTTGTAAGTCGGTGAACTGAATGGTCATTTTTTTTCCTATAGTTGATTTGATTTTCTTAATTTTTTATTAAATTCATGAGCATTATTGAGTTGAAAGCGTCAAATTTCATTTGTTTTAAGACTTGGCAATCAGCTTAAAATGTGCAACATCATTACTTGTAATCATAAGATTGGAGATGAAGAGATAGGGTTTTATAAATTGTATTTAATTTATATAAATTAAGTTCAATCCACATCTTATAAATTCCTCTTTAAAATATCAAAATAATTTCCTATAAATTAATGGAGTTAGGGTTTAGCGTGTGACCAAAAACCAACCCGACCTTTGTTCCAATAAATTTGCAGAAACAAATGTAAATGTACAGAAACCAAAAAAATATGTTACATGTGAGCCGGCAAATGCAAGTAGCTAATCCCATTATAGTTGCTTAGAAATCAAGTCAGTCACGGACCCAAACCCAAAGTCTCCACACACATTAAACAACTACAACAAGCGTATACTCTGGGCTTAGACTTTGAACATTGAATATAAACCAACATTAATCAAATTCAAACCCACTATACAAATTACAAGTAGTACACCGTTCTACACTTTGTTATGATTTTCAGTATGACCTTCTTGACTCTTTTAATATAATTTGAATCTGTTCTTTAGCTTGCTCCAACTCCGACTAAAGCTGCTACAGCCTGGCTGTTGTTATTGATTTATTTTCTCTATTACGTCTTTATCATGTTTTAAAATCCTTTGTGTATTTTGACTTCATAAATTTTGAGGGCCCATTGTTTTAACTACTACAACTCAAATTGAAGACTGCATAAATGTGTAAAAAATAATTTAGAGTCCGAGTCCAAGCCAAAAGAGTTAGACTTGGACCCGGAACATGGTCAGTAGTTGTTGCAACGAGCCGGCCGCTGATGAGTGATGACTCATTTGTGCCTGGCAAGTTGATTTTGTCAAAGTCTTAGAATATTGCCTTTTTTTCTACCTGAATAATGAATATATATATATATATAAACTTCGATTAAAACAAGAATCACCACTTGAAATTAACCCCATCTTAATTTATTTATTCAGTTACTGTTTTGTTGTTGCATTCAGCGTTCTTACTTGTATCATTTATTGAGATTTGAGTGATGGATAGTAAATTGATAATGGGTTCATTTCGCTTTCACATTAGTATTAAATTTCATCCTCTTCTTGATTTTGAATCTTTCAAACTAGTTTAAGATTAATCAATACACAAAATATGTATTAAATAGATAAGATTTTTTTCTTCTTTTATAAGAACAAAA